GGAAGAAGAAACATCTCCCTCCGGGATGAGCTCCTTCCTGTTGAGCCCACCTTGGCAGTGCTCCAAATGGGTCCCACCTTCTTCTGTATGCCTCTCCTCAGGCCATCCCCCTATTGGGAAGCCCCTTTCTACCCTCTCAGCAGAGAAACACCAGCCCTGTGGAGTCAACCCCAACTCCTGACAGCCCATGTGTCAGAGAGGAACTGTATCCCGTCGGGTTTTCAAAGCCATGACCTTTTTGGAAGCAGATCACCAGGCCTTTCTTCCACAGTGCCCCTGGGTGGCCTGGAACCACCCACCTTTTAGAGTAGCTGATCGCCAACTCCTTGCACCACCCAGGCTCCCCAACTGCAAGAAACCCCCCCCTCAAAAAGTCAGCGTTCCCTTCACATTTGTGACAGGTCTCCCCACTGCCCTGAGCTCGCCATGCTCCCAGTGGGCTCAGAGGGACCCACTGGGACTCCCTGTGCCCTTAGAAGTCCACACACTTAAAATTCAATCCATCCACCCTCTTTACCCTACAACCACCACCCTGAATCACCCAGGCCACCGGGGTCCCTTGCCCCCCAGTCCTAGGCACCTTCTCCAAGTTTCCAGTCCCCTCTCCCCCACCCTGACCCCTACACCTGCCCCACAGTCCCCTCTCCAACAGCAGCCCCAGGGAATGTTACAACTCAAATCAGGGAGCCCAGGCCTCTGCTTCAGCCCCTCGGATTCATCTCCAGACATCATAATGTAAAAACAAAAGCCTACGATCGTCCCATGGCCCTTGCCAGCCCTTCTAAGGTCACTTATCACCCCTCCCATCCCCACTGCCCCCACTAGCCTACTCCCACCACCAGGGAGGCTCCTAGTTTTTCTAACCCCAAGTCCGTCCTGGCCCCAGGGCCTTTGCATGTGCTCTTTGCTTGCTCTTCCCACTTGAATTAATGGACGGAGGGGCTCTCCTTGAGGGGTATAAGCAGGAGGTTGCAGGAAAGGCTGCAGACAGGGAAGGAAGGTGTTGTGGCCTAGGGGTCCTCACCAGGTGACCCCCCTTCCCATGAGGCCCTTGGGTGGCTTGGCAGGCACCATCTCCTTCTGGACCATGTAATAGGGGTACAACACATCAATGGGAAGCTCCACGAACACTGGACCTGTGGCGACAGACAGGGGCATGCAGAGCCTGCAGGGCCACCCCGGCCTCCGGGACCCAGGACCTGACCACCGCCCACCCCTACACCTACCTGGGGTGCCCGACTGGGCAGCAGCCATGGCGGCTCTCAGGGTGGGCACGATGTCCCGCACCCTCCGCACCGATGCACAGAACTTACAGAGCGGCCGGAACAGGGACATTTGGTCGATGGCCTGGAGCGCCCCCCGGTTCTGGCAAAGCCAGGGGTCAGAGTGTCAGCATACGAAACCCCACCCGCCAGAGTCCCCTCCAGCCCCTGCTGTCCCCCTGTGGGCTGGGCACCTGCAACAGGGTGCTGGCAGCGCCCCCCAGGAGCAGAACTGGGGACTGGGCCATCTGGGCATTCTTCATTGCTGTCACCGTGTTGGTGAGGCCAGGGCCCGCCGTCACCGCTGCTACGCCCACTGTGCCTGCAACACAGGTGGTATCAGAGCCCTGTCCCCATCCCAGACATCCCATGCTGGAGTCACCCCCACTCCATCCGCTCCCCGCACCTTTACCGGTCAGGCGGGCCACAGCATCAGCCGCAAAGACAGCGGTGACCTCATGGCGCGTGTCCACCACACGGATGCCCAGCTTTTCACAGGCCACCAGCAGCGGGGAGATGTGTCCGCCGACCAGGGTGAAGAGGAAGCGTACGCCATGGGCACGCAACACAGCTGCCACGTTCTCCCCGCCATGCCGGACACTGGCTTTGTCCACCTGAGCCCCAGGGGAAGGCAAGTCCGTCAAGCACAAGGGCAATGGCACCAGGGCCGGCAGGGCAGGGGCAAGCCCACTCCAGGAAGGGAGGGTGGGCGCAAGTACAGCTTGGGGTTGCTCAGGCAATCTCTGTATCGCCTCCCCCCTGGCTCCCAGGAGGCCTCTGCTGAAGCGCATCACTAAGGAGAGCCTGGTTTACCCCAGACCCCAGCTGGAATGTAGTGGAAGCAGCGCTCTTTGGCTGCGCTGTGCTCCTTCGCACTGTCGCACTGCCTGCCTCAGGGATGGGAGGGTAACCTACACAGGAGGCCAGGAAGGGTCTGCCGCCTTGGATGAGCTTAGCCAGGGTATAGGCAGGGGCCCAATCACCAACTTGGGCGTCTGGAAGTGCCTGTCCACCAGTGTCCCTACAGGACCTAGTGCCCTGACTCTTTCCCTCCCTCAGAGACCCAGCTGACAGACTGCCAGCAGCCAGATGCCAATGCAGAAGCATGCTAAGCCTTCCTTGTCCCAGCTTCCCTCGCCCACACACCTGTGTTTTTAATCCCTACAAGTCCCTGGGGCTAGTGGCGTTGCCCACTAGCTGTAAGAGGAAACCTGGTGAGAGGCCAAAGGGGTGAGGTATAGCTAGGTTGAAGGATCGGTGAAGGGCCTGGGGAAGGCTTAGCTGTTGGTTAAGAAGGCGAGGACCAGGGAGGGTCTGAGGAGGGGTCGGTCTCTGGGTAGTATAAATTGTTATCGCACTCGACTGCTAACTGACATATGGAAGGTCCGGGTCTACCCAGAAATGCCCGGCAATCTACCACCAAACACTCAGCCATTGAGAAGCCTCCAGCGCATCCTTCTACTCGGACAGCATGAGGTCCTCAGAAGGGGGAGCTGCTGTCACAGCAACGGAGGAGGAGCCAGCGTGCCTACTGCCCCCTGCCCACATTAAGATGAAGGCCCGGGAGCTAGGGGAGAGGGACAGCGCCTGAGTGGTGCAGATGGTTAATGCCCAAAGCAGGGAAATGGAAGGTTGGAGGGTCTGGTCCAACCAAAGGAGCCTTGGAAGAAAGGCCTGACAATCTACTTCCGAAAAAGTTGGCCACTGAAAACCCCGTGGAGCCCAGTTGTACTGGGACATACATGGGGATGGAGGGTGAGGGGGTGGTGTCAAGGCCCCTCCCAGGTCTGAGAGGAAGGTCTGAGGAGGGACCTGGGGAGGGAGGATGCTTGAGAGAGGTGCCAAGCAGTTACAGAGGGATGACTGTGCGGCCAGTTCTCCCCAAAGAGGTCAGCAAGGACAAGCTGTCACATGGCTTTCCTCGGCCTCGGTTTCCTCACTGAAAAAGGGGGACCATGCTAACAGCACCTACTCACTGTGTGGTGGGTCCACTCTGACACCCCCACCCCGGAGGTTTAGTGGGCAGGATGCTAAGTGGTGGTTTCCTCTCTAAAGGGGCGGGCCCTGGGTGGGGAGGAAGGAGGCGGTCATTCGGACTGCAGCCTCGGCTTCCCAGCATTCCCATCTCAGCGACAAAGTCCAGGTCCTCCAAGGGCAGCGTGGCACTAGGCCAGAGGCAGTTGTAGAGTTCCCAGGCTAGTCCCTGCACACCAATCAGGCCTCATTTTCCCTGAGGGTTCAGTGAATGGGCTGCAAGGGTCATCAAGAGCCCCCCACCCCCACCCTTCCGTGGTGGCCTCCAGTCCGCCTCCCGTCTGTCCATGTCCCCCGCACCTTGTGTCTCAGCTGATAGAAGAGTCCTAGGCGATGCAAGGCGCCCAGCAGGGCAGCCACCAGAGTCCCGCTGACCAGGAGCAGGAGCGAGGGGACGAAGCTCCCGTCAGGGGCAGTAACCTTGGAGGACTCCATGAGATGGTACCTGGGGAAGAAACAGCAGGGGCGGGTTACCTACTAGCTATCTTATCAGAAAGAAGGCACGCCCCTTTCTCATTCCTTTCCCAGACCACGCGTACTTGTCACAAGGCTCCGTGACCACGTCCCTCCAGCAACTAGACTCCGGTGCGGGCACCAACTGATACCTAGCCCCTCCTCCTAGAGGCAGGCCACGCCTCTTAGGACACCATGACTATTCAAACGAGGTCACCATCCTGCAGATCGCATAGACCAACACGGAGGCAACGACTGCAAAACTCAGTCGCCTTTCCACTCACCTAGTTCTCCACGGATGGGCGGGAAACCCTGTCTCGATCTTGCGTCAGGTCTCAGCCGTGCCCCCGCACCCAGGAGATGTCACCGAGAGGGTGAGGCCACGCCCTCCTGGTTAGCATGCACCACCTCCCATGCCCGATCGCGCACACCAGCCCCAGGGGCGACTCCAGGCCCCGGTTCTGGAGCACATCGCTTCCAGGGCTTCTTTGACGCAGGCCGTCCCAGGCCCGGGACCCTTCAAACTTCACCTACAGAAAATGGCGCAGTGACCCGCAGGACGCCGCGCCCTTGGCATCATCACGCAATACGAATGCGCAGCCAAAGGGGCGGGGCCGGAGGCTACGTCCGTGCCCCTTTCGCCCTCTCGGATCCAGGGCGCCCCGGCCTGCGCCCGGATGCGCATGCGCAGAGCTGAGTCCCGGGGGCCTCGGGCACCGCCCCTAGAACCCCTTTTCTGCCGGCCGCCTTGCGCACGGGTCGTCTTTGGACTTTCTTTGGCTCTCACGGTAGGCCCCTCACGTTCTTTGCTAAGCAGCCATGCCCCTCCGGACCCGGCCTTCGGACCAGGCGCCCACCCACAGCCGGCATTGAGCTGTGATTGGCAGGCCCGGCGGTTCCCCGCAAGTTTCCCCCCAAGTTCCACCCAGCCCCAGCGTGCACGCTCCGGGACCCGCTCCTCAGCGCCCTGCCCTCCGGGAGCCGGTTCCAAGCCAGCCCCGCCCCTTCGTGGGACCTGGGGTAACTCGGCAACGAAGGACCCGCCTCCCAGCCTTGACTCCGCCCTGCAGGCCCGCCCCCTTCCCTGGGGTTTGACAGCTCGCAGAGCACTTGGGGGTGTGGAGAGATGCATAGGTTCCAGCCTTCGTTCCTCCACATTCGAGCCCCCTGACTTCTGGCATAGGGTCTCCGCATCCGTAAAAGAGTGGAGGAGGTTTCGAACATTTTGCTGAGTGGACGCGAACTCCCCTCTGTGGCCATTTCGGGATGCCTCTGAGCACGCTCCCCATCGTTCATTTTCCCTTCCACGAATCATTTCTAGGAGTCCTGGTTCCACGTTGCGCTGTGGTGGTGCTTGGGTGCCATGTCCCCTCCGACCCGGAGCGACCCTCTACACAACAGAACGAGACCCCGCACAGTCCAGCGCCTTCCTCGCAATCGTTCCTGTGCGTGAGCCATTGATGCAGCCGCTGTGTCCGTCCATCCCGCTGAGGACCTTCCCCTTCAGCACTGCCCCTCCACTTAACTAAACGAGATGTCCTTCTCCGGGGACTGGTCTCTCCTGACGTGTCCAAAGTAAAAGATGAAGTCCTGCCATCCTTGCCTCTAAAGGACACTCTGGCCGTACTTCTTCCAATGCAGAGCTTCGTCCTTTTGAGAGACCAGAGGGAGTGAAGGAACGCGCCCCGTGGAGATCGAGGAAAGATTGGAGATCCAGACAGAGGGGTGGCCAGTGCAAAGGCCCTGAGGTAGAGTATTCATTTCTTGTGGCTGCTCTGAAGAATGACCACAAACTTGGGGGCTTCAGACAACAGAATGTCATCTCATAGTTCTGAAAGCCAGAAGTCAAAATCAAGGACTTCCTCCTTGGCTATTCTGGCTTCTGGCAGTTCCAGGCATCCCTTGGTTTGTGACTGGGTCACTCCACCCTCACGTGGCTTGTCCCCCATGACTTCACCCTTCCCTTCTCGTCTAAGAACACTGGTCATTAGATGGAAGGCCCACCCAGATAATTCAGGATGACCTCATCTTGAGATCTTTCATTTAATTACAGCTGCAAAGGAATTTATTCCAAATAAGGTCACGTTTTCAGGTTCCAGGTGGATATTTTGGGGGTGGTGAAGCCCTGCAGCTTCATGTGTGCAAGGAAAATTCAGATAACCTGCATAGCTGGAATGTAACAGAGCAAAGAGGAGGAGGGAGGGGAGATGAGGTCAGAGGGTCGGCAAGGAGTAGGGCATGATGTTGTATAGCTCACAGTGAGGACTTGGGGGAACTAGGTGGGGGCCGCGCAGTGTAAATAACTAATGTTGCTACTGAGCAGCGCTAACTTGTCCCACCCCCTTGGGTCACGGAGCAGAACTGAGTTCCATAGGGTTGTCATGGATGTAACATTTATGGAAGCAGATCACCAGGCCTTTCTCCCGTGGTACCCCTGAGGGGGGCTGCAGCTGCCAACTTTTTAATGAGCTCCAACTGTTTGTGCCCCCCAAGGCAGCACACATAGGCATAAAAGCTATGCACAATTGTTCATAGGAATAGGAGCCCTGGTGGTGTAGGTGGTGATGCATGGGGCTGTGAGCTGCCTGGTCGGCAGTTCGAAACCACCAGCAGCTCCAAGGGAGAAAACGAGGCTTTCTACTCCCATCACAGTGACAGTCTCGGAAACCCGCAGGGGGTCGATACGAGTCAGCATGGACTCGGTGGCAGTGAGTTTGATTCAGTTTGGTTCCTTAGGCACAACCCCCAACGGCTGCAGTCCAAAACACCCCTTCCTAAGTGACTGCTTAAACAAATTGGCGCACCTCTGGTCCTTCCTGGCCATAAAATCCTTTTTTTTTTTTAAAGGGGTCATGAGAGTCAATTCTGACTCGTGGTAACCCTATGTGTATCAGAGTTCCAGGGCCGCATTCCATACCATGGGTTTTGGATGGAACGTTCCATACAGCCGTTTTCAGTGACTGGTTTTTCAGAAGCAAAGCGCCAGGCCTTTCTTCTGAGGCACCGCTGAGTAAACTCAAACCTCCAACTTTTTCGTCTGCACCTGAGTACATTAACCCCCGGCACCACAAAGGGACTCCAGGGAATATTACTCAGGCATCAAAGGGACAGACTATCAAAGCATGGGAATTGGCTGAATCTCAAAAGACGATTCTGAAAGAACTGTCAAAGACAACAGAGTGTGTCTTTTCACGTATATGATATTCCCAAGGTGACAGAATTACCATGAGGGAGAGCAGATCAGGGGTTGCCATAGCTTAGAGAAGGGAATGGCTACCAAGGGGTGTCCTGAGATTTTCTGAAGGAGGATGGAGTTGTTCTGTACCCTGATTATACTGTAGTTACATCTGTCACGGTTCCTATTGTTGTTGTTAGAGGCTATCAAGTCCCTCTGAGTCATAGCCATCCTATGTGCAACACAATGAAACACCACCCAGTCCTGCATCATTCTCCCAATTGTTCTAACGGTCAAACTCTTAGTTGTAGCTACGGGGTCCATCCATATCCTTGAGAGTCTTCCTCTTTTTCACGGCCCCTCCACTTTACCAAGGATGTTGTCTTTTTCCAGGGACGGGTCGCTCCTGATGACATGTCCAAAGGACCTTAGATGAAGTCTCACTATCTTTGTTTCTAAGGAACCTCCTGGCTCTGCTTCTCCACAACAGATTTGTTTGTTCTTTGGACAGTCCATAGTCCTTTCAGTATTGTTCAACAGCACCGCAATTCACATGCATCAGGGCCCCTATCTTCCTTATTCAATGTCCAGCATTCACAAAATACCCTGGCCTGGGTCATGTGCTTCTTGACTATGGTGGTGGTTACATCAGTCTAGGTCCTTGGTGGTGCAAAGGAGTTGTCCTACTAACCTAAAGGTTGGTCATTCAAATCCACCCAGCAGTACCACGGAAGAAAGGTTTGGTGACCTGCTTCTGCAAAGATCACAGCCATGTAACCCTAGGTGACCGTTGTACTCTGTCACCGCGTATCCCCAGAAGTCAGAATCGACTCGACAATAACAATGTGTCTTAAAATTCATTAAACTGTTCCCTAGCCAAGAAGCTCTGGTAATATAGTAAGCTAAGTGTTTGCGCTGTGTGTTAGGTTGGAGTCTCAAGAGAAGCAACACCAATGATGCCTGCTGATGTGAGTATAAATATTTATACCAAGACACGGTTGACACAGTTGTAAAAGCATATAACTTCAGTCCAGTTCAAGTCCGTTAGTCAGATGTGAACTCTGGCTCGTGTAGCTCTGCAAACGGATGAGCAGGAAGCAGCAAGACGAAACAGAAATGCCACAGAGGAGCAGGTGCAAAGGTAAATGAATCCAAGGCCGAATGAATACATCCAAGATGGGCAGTCCACGGACAGCTGCTGAGATCGGAGATCGACAAACCAGGCGCACGATCCAGCTCCAGCAAATGGCAAAGGAGCAGAAGAGAACCCAGCTCTGCTTATGAGCTCTCTCTTATACGAAAGGCCACGCTGCCAAAGAAGTGTCATCAGGCTGCAACCTGATTGCTAGGTTCAGCACCACCCTTTCCTTCACCCAGGACTGTCCAGTTGACATAAACTCTAACCATCACAAGCTGCTGACCACAAGGTTGATGGTTCAAGCCTACCAGCCATTCTAAGAGTGAAAAAGCATGTATGTCTCAAATATCTATAGGGTCACTATGAATTGCTATAGATGTGAAGGCTTTGGATTTGGGGTGACTAAACATGTTTTTATTGTACTAGATAATGCCTTAAAAACAAAATTACCTAGACACACAAATGTAAATAGCAAAACATTTGAAAGACACCCCAGCACCAACAGAGCATCAGAATGAGAAGAAAGTTTAACAACCAGAAATATGCAGATAGCACAACCTTGCTTGGTAGAAGTGAGGAGGACTTGAAGTATTTGCTGATGGAAATCAAAGACTGCAGCCTTCAGACTCAAACTCCATGTAAAGAAAAGCAAAAATCCTCACACCTGGACCAATAAACAATATTATGATAAGCTGAGAAAAGATTGAAGTTGTCAAGGATTTTTTTTGTTGTTGCTTAGATCCACAATCAATGCTCATGGAAGCAGCAGTCAAGTAACATTGCACAGGGCAACTCTGCTGTACAGACCTCTTTAACTTGTTGAAATGCAAGGCCATCACTTTGAGAACTAAGGCATGCCTGACCCGAGCCATTCCATTGCCTCATGGGCATGTGACAGTTGGACAAGAAGGAAGGAAGACTTCAGGAGAATTGATGCGTTTGAATGATGGTGTTTGCCATGAATATTCAAAGTACTGTGGACTGCCAGAAAAATAAATACATCTGGGAAGAAATACAGTCAGCATGTTCATTATCAGGAAAGACCTGACCCTGGAGAAGGACATCATGCTTGGCCAAGTAAAGGGGCAGTGAGAGAAAAACAGGAAGAGGCTTGACAAGATGGATTGACCCGAGGGCGACAGCAATGGGCTCAAACGCAGCAACAACTGGGAGGATGGTGCAGGATTGGCCAGTGTCTGGTTCTGTTGTGTAGAGAGTTGAGTCGCTATTGACTGGAACCAACTTGATGGCACCAACTAACAACCACCAGC